CATTGGATTGAAGTATTTGGCATCAACAGCTGCTAACATCAAAATAAAAAGAGCAAAAATGAGACATTTTCTGTCTCCTGATGAAATAACACACCCCCATTCTTTATAGTTTTGCCAGAGGGTTCAAAGTCAAGTCTGCTGAAATATCTGGAGCCAACTGTCAAGTGTTAGGAAATACAGGGGAGAGAAGAACAGGCTGAGCTGCACCATGGGCATGCAATCAGTCATGCCAGACTGTGGGAAACTCTGGGAAACATGCCAGACAGTCCAGGTTCTTTCACAGATACATTATAATGAAAAGAAAGTAATGGAAAGGAAGCCTGGAGATTAAACAAGACTTAGTGACATTTCAGGTTTAAAAAAACTGGGAAGACTAAACTTTGGTGTCTTGGTTAATGAAATTGTAAAGAAATACAAGCAAGTAATTACTACAAAAAGCAGGCTAGTAATTATGTTTAGAGTGCATTATAGGCTGCTGAACCGTTTCTCCCCAAATTCATATGATGAAGTTCTCACCCCTAGTAGCTCAGGATGTTTTTGGAGATAGGGTTTTTAAAGAGGTCATTAAGGTTAAATGAAGTAGTACTGACCACCTCATGGGATGTGGGATGGCCACGTCAGGACATAGCCAGAAGACAGTCATCTACAAATCAAGGAGAAACGCTTCAGGAGAAACCAAATCTGCTGATTTCTTATCAGGGACTTGTGGCCTCCAGAACTGTGAGAAAGACATTTCTGTTGTTTAAGCCTCCCAGTCCGTGGTATTTTGTTACGGCAGCCCTAGCAAATTAACTCAGAGGGAGATGGGAGGTCTGATTGGAGGGGGCACAGATAGGGCAAATTGGGGTGGCTAACAATGTTTGATTTCTTGTTGCAGGTGGTGGTTACAAGGATGTTTGCCTTATAATAATTCCTAATCTGTACGTTGTTTTGCGTGGTTTTCTGTGTCTGTGTTTTATTTTACAACAAAAGGGCTGAAAACAAGAATGGAAACAACCATTAGTTGGAAACAAAGATTATCCAGGCCGCAGACGTGGGTGACTTGGATTAGGGTGGTGGTAGAGGGTTTGCAGAGAAGTGGGTAGATTCCTGACATGTTGACTAGATAGGAGGATGTGAAAGAGGGAGGGACAAAGTAGCTGTCCTTGGGGATGGGAGCAGGGGAGTGGGTGAGGGTTGAGAGGAAACCAGATTGGTAGTGAGTTGAAAACTGTTAAAGCCGGGTGGTGGGGATACGGGAGCTTAATGTACTATCCTATTTTTATATGTGTTGAAAATTTTTCATGTTAAAGAAATAAAGTGAGGAAAACTGACAGTGAGAGACTGAAATAAAGTTGCTCTATCATTATTTTCCATGAGTTGTGCCTATTTACTATTTCAGTTGTCACTTTTAATCTTAGCCCATGTTTTCCCATGTGCTTTTCTGCTCTTGTTTCACGGAGTTCCTTTGCATCCTATTGAGGATGCTCAATGGGTCTCTACAATGTTCCAGTGTTCCTCTGATTCCAGTAGTAAATCATTTTCAAAGATCCTCAGAGTCTTTAGGATAATATTACATTTTTCTTCTCTGACAATATCCTTTGCCTAGGCTTTATGTGGCTTTCTTTTCCCCTCTAAGGTTTCGTTGTCAAGTAAGGGGACACCTATCCAGACCTGTGCTTTCTGATAGAACGGGATGGGAAGATGGTCATTGGTGACATTCTCTGTCCATCTGGATTCTGAACCTCCTTTTCAGAGCTACAGCTCAATGGCATTTATATAAATGATTTCTAGGCCAATATCTGGTGTCTGTTACTTTGGCATTTTTTTTTTTTTTTTTTTTAGAGCAGCCAAATATGTATCCCAGTGAACACACTTGGGTAATTACATGCCTTTTCGTTCTTATCTTAGGTCCCATAATCACTAACAATATGTGTAATTCTTTCTTGATGCATACATGGAGACCCCAGAGAAGGAACTCTCTCTTTTTTTGTGCCGGGGTGGTTGCATACATTTGTGAAATTGAGCAAAGAGAAGAGGAATGAAGCTGGGAGCCGCTTTCAGTCAGTTTGTTAGGGGCTGCCCCATTTCATCACGTAGCTGTAAGGTTCTTAGGCTGGTACTGCATGTGGCTCATATAATGTATTCAAGTTCAGCTAGCCCAGAGGATACTACACCTCCAGCATCCCCCATCCATGCACCACTCATCCATCATCGGACACTTTAAAACTTGCTTGTAGACATTCTATTTCCTGAGTGCTGCTTTGCCAGGATCCTGGAGCTATGAGCATTTACCCAGTCTCTTAGAAATAGTTACACTGGTCCTAAGACTTTGACAATAGCGTAATAAAAGCTCCAGTTCCACTGTAATGAGATACCACTTTATGCCTATGAGGATGGCTATAATAATACTATTAAAAAAAAACCCAAAGTAATAAGTGTTGGTAAGCATGTACAATTGGAACCCTTGAGCATTGCTGGTGGAAATACTGCTGTGGTACAGCTATGGCAGAAACAATTTGGTGATGGCTCAAAAGTTAAACACAGAATTACCATATGCCTCAGCAAATCCACTCCTGGTTATACATACAAAAAAATTGAAATCAGGGACTTGAACACATATTCATATGCCAGTGTTCATAGCAGCATCATTCACAACAGCCAAAAAGTGGAAACAATCCAAATGTCCATCAACGGATGAAGCAATAACAGAATATGGTATATACATACCATGAAATACTGTTCAGCCATCAAAGAAATGAAATTTCCATATATGCTACAATATGAGTGGACCATTATGCTTAGTGAAATAAGCCAGATACAAAGGGACAATACTGCATGATTCCACTTGTATGAGGTACCTAGAATAAGCAAATTCATAGAGACAGAAAGCAGAATAGAGGTTACTAGGGGCTGGGGTTGGGGGATGAGGAATTATTGTTTAATGGGTAGAGTTTATGTTGGTGATGATAAAAGTTTCGAGTATAGATAGTGGCAATAGTTATACAACATTGTGAATGTATGTAATACCACTGAATTATATACTTAAAACCAGTTAAAATGATAAAATATTGTATATATTTTACCACAAGAGAAAGGTATCCCTTTAAAACAAAAACAAACTCCAGTCTGTCACCTGTAAAATTCTATGACGCCAATGACAATCATAAAATCTTGATTAGCAGGGTAGACTTCTTATCTTTAACATTACTGCCCTGAGGACTTTTCATACAGTGAAACTGTTGTGCAGTATGTGACCTACACAACCTTACGTAATGTCTCCATCTCCTTCCCATCTAAAAGCGGTGAAAAAACATGGCTTCATGTAATATGATTTTTTAAATATTGTGGATCAATTTCTTGGTAAAATGGGATAGGCTTTCCTAAACTCAAATAAAACATATGAAGAAGCAGGAAAAGTTGCAATCTTAAAACTACAAAAATTAGAATTGACTTTTGATCTATTGTGAGACTCTAACAAACGCCTCACTAATTAGAAGGTCAATGAAACGGGGTTGAAAAACGCAACCAGCCAACCACCCCTTGAAACGGAGAATGGCCCACTGTGGAACAGGGTCTGCATCTTGCACAACCACAGAAGGTACCAATCATATCATAGTCTAGGTGACCAGTAGGCTGGACCATCCGCCAAACACAGCAACCATATTATGGGAAATTGTGCAAACAATTCCCGCTCTACCTTTAATTCTCCTCTGTCCCCAATTCAAAAACAGAAGCCATATCCTCTGCAGAAAATGTGGTACTTATCTCCCTTAATCTTGGATGCTGCTTTTTAAGGCAGCCAGACTAATATTTTCTTCCCCAATCTATACACTGCCCCCTTCTTCAGCAATGACAATTCTCTAAAAGTAAATGAGCAGAGATCAGAGCCTGGAAGAGAAAGTGGAGGAAATAGACTGACAATTTGTATCCTTGGACACATAAATTAAGGTGGGATAGGCACAGTGGCTCATGCCTGTAAATCCCAGCACTTTGGAAGGCTGAGGTGGGAGAATCACTTGAGGCAAGGAGTTCGAGACCAGCCTGGGCAATATATTGAGATCCTGTCTCTACAACAGAAAAAAAAGAAAGAAAGAAAATTAGAGAAAAGTTCTGTATGGGAAGGAGAAAAAAGTACCCTGAAACATACTAGGGATTATATTTTTTCACCTACTTCATCTCTTCAGTCACTCAGAAAAGTTAGATAGTAAGAGGAAGAGAAAATCCTATTTCATCCTCAGGAGATGAGAACAGAAGTGATGTTATTCCTCAGGAGATAAGAACAGAGGTGATGTTGAACATATGTAACCACTGAAACGGCATGGGCATGGATCATGCAGAAGAGATATCAGCCATAACCTGGTCTAACTTTACCAATGAGCATTGCCTCAGTATGCTTTGGATGAGAGCTTTTTAGACACCGAGAACGGACCCAGGAACTATCTTCTGGTTGACAGACCTTCATCCCAGCTACCTGAGTGCCTGTATTTCAGTCTTGGCCCAGCATTGGCTGGACCGAAGTCTCTGGCTTGTCCCGATGATTCTTTTCCTCAGTGCATACAGAGAAAGCTGGTCATCGTCACACAATCCACTCTCCCTTTTTTCTATGATACAGGAGTAACAGAAGTTGAAAATCCAGTCACCCAGCCAAAGATTCCATTTCCTACCATCTCTTGCAGCTATGCATTGCTGTGTGACTAGGTCATCATCTATGAGATGTGAGCCAATGTCTTGACGTAAAAGATGCCTTCCTCTTGCCTAGTTCTACCATTTGCTTGGCTGGAATGTGGAACTAGCAGTGAAAGCTGAGATAGCCATCTTGTCAACAGGAAAGAATCCAAGTGTTGACAATCACAGAGCAACTACAGAAGGAACTTTGTTCTCTGAAGGTTGTGGAGCTATGATATCCCTCTCTAAGCCTGAATACCATCATTATAGCATCAACTGCTTAACTCTCCTTATGTGCAGCAAGGAAACCTCAGCATATAAACTCTACACAAATGAGGACACACATATCGTACTCTATTTGGCAAAGATGAACTTTAATGTGTGCAGGAATCACCTGGGAGTCTTGTTAAAATGCAGTCTGTTTCAGCAGGTCTGGGCTGAGGCCTGACATTCAGCATTTCTCACAAGCTGTGATACCAGTGATGCTAGTTGGGTCACGCCCTGGATCTAAAGCAGTGAACCTGAGTTTGAGGCGAGCCTGGTGAACATAGAAGATCCCATCTTTAAAACTAAAAAAGAAAATTAGACATGTGGCAGGGCGCACCTATAGTCCCAGCTACTTGGGTGGCTGAGGCAGGAGGATGGGTGGGGCCCAGGAGCTCAAGGCATGTATCGGTAGTGGAGCTGGACAGGTAGCTTTCAGAGAAGTTACCCCTTGAGCTACAGTCTATCGAAATGCCCCCTTCTCAGTAAGGCTTCACCAGGTCATTTTTGATACATTTTTCTTTAAAACTATAGCACACCCTGACAACTGCCTGCTTTATCTCCCCCCTCACCTGCACCTTAGAGAGCTTGTAAACATCCAACGTGCCATGCATTACACGTGTTAATTTTGTTTATTTGCTGTCTCCTCCCACTGGAATTTAAGCTACAGTCTGCAAGGAGTGAAGGAATGGCAGTCAGGTGAAGCTCAGTAAATGTAGAAACAGAATGCCTGCAGGTCGGCAGACATGTGGTCTACATTGTCAACATTAGCTCCCGGGAGGGATCAAAGAGAGAACCATAGAACCGCACCTTTTTGCAGCCCTCAGACACCTCCAATAATGCAGTGATCTTACATATGAAACTAGTCCTCAAAAATTACTCTTCCAATCCTCCTACCACTTCTGTTAATCCTCAGTTATGGAGATCTCACTTACCACAGACACCCCCAGCCCCTCCCGGCAACTCTGTAGGGCAAATGTTATCAGCCCCGCTCCATAGATGAAGATACTGAGGCTTTGAGAATGTGGATATTTAGCCAAGACGCAGAGTGCGGAACTAAATCCAATTCTATTTAGTGTCAAAGATATGAAGGTTTTGATATGGGAGGCCCTCAGGTTTCAGGTCAAATAACTCCAGTGTTGGAAATGGAAGGCTGGAGAGACTGTGGAACGGGTGATACATGTAATCTTCCTGGAATCTCCACCCCAGGGATTCCTTCTCTGATGATTGGCCTTAGGACCCTCTTCCAAGCAACTCCTTTGGGACCCTACTGGCTTACCTGACCCGTGTTTTGGCTGCTCTTCCTTGTATGAAGCATATTATTGTAATGATGTCCACTCTCCACCCCCTTCAACTCTTCACAAATCTGTCTTCCAGTAATGTCCATCCACTGGGCCCACCTGAGAGTCCCCTCTCCTTGTATCACCCCGGAGTGATGCTCGGCATAGAGTGTCGCTGTGACAGCAGAAAAGCATAGATGAAAAGGACTCAACCCCCCCGCCACCCACCACTCCTCATGCTTCCCAATACATTAGACAGCACCCCTTAAGCCATAAACATTTTAACATTGAAACATTTTAACAAACAAAAGCAAGGCCACTGCACTTCTAAGGGAATCTGAGTCTGTAAATGAAGAGAATTCTGTCGATACTCACTTCCATCCAATTCTGCAAAGGAGCATTCATGGAGTGCCTGTCTGCTCAGGGGTTCCACCTCTGGGGGGAAGAGCGGGTAGGAGGAGGGAGTCCTTAAAGCTGAGGACAGGATTTCTGCATTCAGCTTCACTCCCTGCCCCCAGCCTGTTAGGAAAGCTTGCACAGGTCCTCAAACAGAATCCTGCACCTGCGACCTGCACCTTCCGACCAGCGAGTGCTCTGCTCCATTATTAAAGTGTCTCTGCAATTACAGTGACAGGTGGAGAGTGCCTGAGAGACAACCTGGCTCTCCCTCTTCCTGGGAGTGACACATAATCATGCCCTGCATTTAGAGAGTGCCCTTCTCTGAGGAACTCGAATGGCCTTCTTGACATAATCTCATTCATTCTTCCAACTGCCTTATGAGGCTGACAAGGGACAGGTATTCTTTGCTAACCCTGCCTGCCCCATTTCTAGAGGAAAGAAGTGAGGCCCCAAGAAATTAAAGTCAAAATGAGACTATGAGAGAGCAAGTAATAAAACCTGAGTCTCCTGACCCCTATCCCACAAACCTCCCGTTCCTCCCTTCCTGACAGCCTGCACGCAAGTGCGGATGTTTATGTTTCTGCACAAAGACTTAAAAAAGGTTGGCTTTGTGAATCTGTGCTACTCTGAGTAGGACAAGGTGAGCCAGCCTAAACAGAGAATTCGGGGTTTAAAATAAATAAGAAGCAAAGAGAAGATTGAGAGAAGTCAGAAAAGGAGGGTTGGGAGACCCCCAAAGCTCAGAATGGGGTCTCAGTCGATGGTAACATCTGAAGGCATAGGTGTGTGCTTTATATCAGGCGTGGAACACTGTGCACAATGTTCCACGATTCAGACACAAGGACTGATGCCTTGTTTAGTCTTCAGGGTTCATTGGTTTTGAGAATATTCAAAACACAGACAGATGGCCATGGTTTATGATTCTGCTCTCTCAGCTGTGGCTGCTGAGGTGTCCAGGTTGTTGATAAACAAGGAATAGAACATGGCATTGAATAGAACAATGACAGTGATAACAGCTAACATTTATTAATCACATGCATAACTATTCACATATTTTATCATATTTGATCCTCCCAACAACCTTATGAGGTTGTATTGTTATCTCATTTTATGTTAGAGAAAATTGAGGCTTAAAGAACATGACTGATGAGCCTAATATACTTAGCCTGACTTTTCTCTAATATTCCCAGAGTCATTTAAATGCTTCTGCAAGGAAAGACTGAAACTTGGTACAGCAGAAAGTTTCCTAACAGTCATTGGAATTTTTGATTCCCAGGAAAGCAAGTGAAATGATTAGTAGTCAATACTGGGAAGCATACCTCATTTTAAAAAATGCAGTGACAGTTTCCTATTAGAGAAACTCCAACTTGAAAACAATCACCCTAATGAAAAATTCAAACATTTAGATAAGTTCTGTGGAGGTCTAGTATAAGTTGATTTTCCTTTAGTTGGAAAATAAGCTTTAAACTAAACGACTCAAATAGTATTTTAGAAAGAAATTTGCAGTAGCTAGACTGTAAGCCTGTTGAGGTTACCTCCCAGGACAGGTACTCACCTTTCCTTGCTCTGCACCTGAAAGGGTTTATGAGCACTTGGTACAGCTGCAAAGACCTGCCAGGTAGGCAATTTGAGAGAGTTGGCAGACCATTAGATTAAGAGTTAGGTGGCCAGGCGTGGTGGCTCATGCCTATAATCTCAGCACTTTGGGAGGCCAAGGCGGACAGATTGCTTGAGGCCAGGAGTTCAAGACCAGCCTGGTCAACATGGTGAAACCCTGTCTCTACTAAAAATGCAAAAATTAGCTGGGCATGGTGGTGCACACCTGTAATCCCAGCTGCTCGGGAGGCTGAGGCATGAGAATAGTTTGAACCCAGGAGGCGGATGTTGCAGTGAGCCGAGATCGCGCCACTGCACTCCAACCTGGGTGACAGAGCAAGATTCTGTCTCAAAAGAAAAAAAAAAAAAAAAAAGTCGGGAGACCTTGGGCAAAACACTTTTGTTTCTGTGGACCTCAATTTCTTTAGCTGTATAACGGGGCGTTCTGACAACCTGTTAGTGCATAACTCTAGGAACTTGCTCTGGAGTGCAAAAAATGTTGCTGCTGCCAAACCTCAAGGGAAGGAGGGATGCCTCATTCATACACCACCCTTCGAATGCTTTCATTCCATAAAGATCACAGGGTCCCTCTGCTGCTTTACTGCCCATTAATAAGGCCAGGCACTCCCCTGCCCCCAAAATAGGCTTGTTCAATATCACATTCCCGTGATACATGTATCACCAGTGCTTAGCACATAGCAGCTATTCAATAAATACTTGCAAAGAAAAAAACTGAATGAATATTTGTGAAAGAATAAATGAACACAGGGACATCTTTGGGAAGTCAAGGAAGAAAGATATCTTTGATTACAAAGAATCCCAGGCTTTTCCTCAAGATATTCAGAGATCTTTTCAAATTCGATTTAACTTAGATGGTAAATTGAAAGATAAGGAATACAAATGGCCAAGGAGAATATGAAAAAGTTGTTTAATCTCTAGCAATCAGGAAACCACAAATTAAAACAGTAACAATTTTTTAAATTTAATTAGGGGAAAAAATTCAATAAGGGAGGAGATGCTATTGATAGATACATAATTTGATAAAGACCATGCAGGACAATTTGACGTTTTGCTCAAACGTAAATGTGAATACCTTTTAGTTCCTCTTCTGGGTATCTATCTATAAAAACACCCACTTTGTACTCAGAGACGTACATGAAGGATGTTCATTACAGCATTCTACTTAATAGTGAAAAATTAGGAACAATTTAAATGTCCAATAGGGGAGTGCATTCATCAGAATATACTAGATTATGCTATACCTAAAAAACAAAAAATCAGTGGCTTAACAAAGACTTTCTACAAGGTCTTCTCTGAATCTAGACAACTCCTAGGGCAACCTCTATTCACGTCAAGATTCAGCAATCTAGGTTCTCTTGATCTTGTGGCTTTATCATCTCAATAGGAGGTCTTCTTTACTGTGGCAGGGAACAGAGGGCTAGAAGGTCTTATACCCGCAGTGAAATACTGGAACCCAAAAGTGATACAAGTCACCTCTCTCAACCCACTGGCCAGAGCTAGTCATGTGGCTCCAAATAGCTGCAATAAAACAAAAAGTAGAAATCTCTCATGTGTCCAAGGGAAAGGAGAACTGGATATAGGTGAGCACCAGAAGTCTCACACCTGGGAAAAGGCTAAATGGTATATCCAGGCTATGGAATACTACACAGCCGTTTAAAAGCATTAGGTAGATCTATATTTAGTGATTTTTAAAAAAAGATCTGAGACTTTAATTGGCAAATATCTTAAACAACTTGATCTCACTTATATTAAAAATATGTTTATGTATATTTATGTATGTGCAAACGAATAGCAAAAGGTTTATGGAGAGTGATACAGTCCAACAGTGGCTATTTGGGAGGAAGGAGTTGACTGGAGGAAGACTCAAATGAAGGGGACTTTCAAGTTTCCCTGTGTATTCTTCTGCATTGTTTACCTCTTTTAAAATGAAGTTGTATTCACATAACTTAAATTTCTTTCACATTTGTAAAAAGTAAGTAAACACATCTGGGAACCTCTCTCCTCTAGCAGCTCTTTAATAGGCTTTGAGATTTTTTCTTCCAAAAATGCAAATATATCAATTTTAGCAAATTAGTCACCTGTATTTTGTTGTCATAGTCAGAGGCACTTAGTCACAGAAAGGACTTAGAATATATCATTATCTTCAGTCTATACCCTAGAAATAGAATCTGACCCTGAATTGTTGGCACATGTCTGCTGGGGAGTCAGGAGCAATAGCCATGAGCGGTGACAGAAGCCAGCCCGGGCACCAAGAGAGACGGAACCGTCACATAGTTACAGTGGAGGCCTCGGTGGATCGGACTGGCCACTCTGACCGTCAGAATTGCTCTGCCTTGAGGCAACTGCCCCATCCCCATCCGACAGCTCTTACTTAGCTGGGGCGGCCCCAGAGTGTGGGTGTGACAGTGACCAAGGACCTCTCAGAGAGGACTAAGCTGGGTACACTTCAGCCACCAACACATACAGCAACTGGGGCAATGAGAGTCCCAGCTTGAAGTGGGGATTTGGACTGTTCTTCACCAAGGATCCCACTACCATCACATCCCCAACTTCACCCAGAGAGTGATAGTTTAACTAATGGCATAGCAAGAACCCAACCTGGGGAGTAGAAAACTGGGCCTTACCTAGCACATAGCATACATTCAGCAAGTATTTGTTGGATGAACAAATGAATGGTGCTATCCTTGGACCAGGCTCACAGAAGCCTGAGGAGCCTGTGAGAGTGGATCAAGGAATACGATCCCTAAAGCAGAGTCTCCATACATTGCAGAAACAAATCCAGGTGAGTCTGGACCTCACACTCTCTAGGCCTCACCCTGTTGGTTTCCATTATTCTCACAGGCATGGAGGGAGGGAACACCTGGAGGTTGCAGGAGGCTGAGCCAGCCTGTGATCATCCAGGCTTCCAGCTTCTTCCCCTTCCTTCTGCCCCATCTGGTCATTTCTCTGCTTCTCAGCACTTTCTTCTAAGGGCATCCATGGGAAGAAGAAGGAGACAAAGCTCTAGACAGATGCTGTGCCACTGGAGGGTAGCCCTGGGGAAAACATTACAGCTATTGAAAGGAGAGTTGGTTCCTATTGACTCCTAAGACACAAGCTAATTATTGGTTAAAATGGGTCGAAGTCTTTGGAATGTTCTAGGCCAGGGTTTCTGAAACTTAAATGTGAATACAAACCATCTGTGTGTCTTTTAAAAATGCATATTCTGATTTAGAAGGTCTGCAGCAAAGCAAAGTTTAGTTTTCTGTTTTGTTTTGTTTTGCTTTGCTTTGTTTTTAAGACACTTTCTCACTCTGTTACCCAGGCTGGAGTACAATGACGGGATCTTAGCTCACTGCAACCTCTGCCTCCCAGGTTCAAGTGATTCTCATGCCTCTGCCTCCTCGGTAGCTGGCCAACACACCTGGCTAATTTTTGTATTTTTAGTAGGGACGGGGTTTCACCGTGTTGGCCAGGCTGGTCTCGAATTTCTGGCCTCAAGTGGTCCTCCTGCCTCCGATAGTGCTGAGATTACAGGCATAAGCCACCACGTCTGGCCAAGATTCTGCATTTCTAACAAGCCCCCAGATAATGGATGATTCCTATGCTGCTGGTCCAGGGACTACACTTTGATTAGCCGAGGCCTTAGAGAAGGAGACGACAGATATGTGTCACTGGCTTAAGAGTCAAAATTATATATCATCACCACCTGACCACTAACAGCTTGCTGTGCTAAGTGCTTTGAACACTTTTTCTCATTTAATTTTTAAAGAGCCCTCAAAATAGCTATTATTACCATGCCCCATTTTACAGAAGGAAGAACTGAGACCAGGGA